GACCTCTCCTGCCGGCTGCTATCTGAGCCGAAATGTCGGCCAAAGCTATCACACACACACGGCTCTGCCACTGGTGCTCTGTGTTCCTGACTGTGTGTGCCTGCACAACACCTCCCCCCCCAAAAAAAGCACCCCCAGTGCTGCCAAGATCAATGGGCACCGGATTGTGTAAGGCTGGCACCTTCCAGCTGCGGCTCCTGAGCCCTGCATAGCAGCCCCTACCCCAGGTCAGGAAAAGGGGTGCCCAAGATCGGGGGGGGGAAGGCTGCCAGGCCTGGGCAGGTGCCCATCTCGGCTCTGGCAGGACCAGCCTGCCCGAGTGGTGGACCTCCAGATGGAAGCTGGCATTTCAAGAGGGAGGCCGGTGGAGACCTGAGGCCCCGATTCGGGGTGGGCTGCAGCTGGTGGGAATTCCTGTAGATCCTCAGCTGGCCCCCACTTCGAAAGCAGAGGCACCTTTAAGACATGGCTCCTTTCCAGGTGTGTGGGACTACAACCCCCATCATCCGTGGGGTTGCAGTCCAACATCTTAGGAGGGCTCCAATTGCAGAAGGATAGGAGAATCTTTAGGGGAAAAGCCACCGCGCCTTCCTCCCTGACTCCCAACTGTCTCATTCCTGAGGTTCTTCTCACTTTGAGCGGGACCACCGGGCTACTGCTGGCTGGCCTTCAGGTAGTCTGTATTCGGTTCGGCAAATGCTACCTGAAGCACAGACCATGCACTGAAATGATGGAAATATTGCAGATAAGAGCATCGGGGGGGGAACCCCCAAGGATGGGCGAGACCCGACCGGTCGGTCTCCTTTGCTCCTTTCCTTCTTTTCCACTCGCCCCTCCTGGGGATCAACCAGGGTGCCCAAGGAATAGCTCGGGAGCAGGAAACGAGGGTGTCTGGGATGCTGGAGATGATGCAGAGACCCCATCCTTGGAGAGCGTCCCTTGCTGCCTAATGATGGTGCAGAAGGGATCTCCCCCCTCGCTCCCGCCTCCTTGTTGCGTGGCGTTTTTGCCCCCCATTTGTAAGATGGTCTGATCAGGCGAGGAGGTCCCTGAGGGAACACCTGCCTCCCCTTTCCTCTCAACGCCATCTTTCAGCAGCTGGACACGGAGCAGCAGCAGCTGCTTGTGTCAAGGGGCCCGGCCCCCTCTTATAAAGCCATCCAAACCAGGCACCCCGGGGCCATGTCTCCCCCTGCCCACTGGGACCCCAAGACCCGAGGCTTGAGGGTCACACACAGCGCCTGCCTTGTGGGCTCCTCATTGCCTTCTGTCTGGCTATTCTGGAAAGGTCCACGGAGCCCCACCCCCCCAGTCCAAACCTCTCCGCACCACCACCAAACGTTGGTTTTGGTTTGTTTCTCAAACAGATGAAAACAGGATTGCTGTTTTTACTTACGTTGTAAGCCAGTTTGGGAGAACGCCAAACAAGCCAACAAAATACGTGCACACACACCAGAGGTGGGAAATAACACCATGA